TTTAGGGTTTAGGGTTTAGGGTTTAGGGTTTAGGGTTTAGGGTTTAGGGTTTAGGGTTTAGGGGGTTTCTGAACCTTCGCCAGACCGGGAAAAGAATTGCACGAAGAGTGCTCGCGTTATCAGATGTCGACAGATCTCACGTCATCTGCCTGCCACAAACGGACCCCCAAACCCCAAACCCTGGGTTCAGGGTTTAGGGTTTAGTGTTTAAGGCTTAGGGTTTCGGGTTTAGGGTTGAGGGTTTTGGGTTTAGGCTAAACCCGAATTCCCAAAACTTAAGTAATCCGCCGAGCAATTGAAAGATCAGCGGCTTGCGAACACCAATCTGGGTTCTCAACCTGAGGGCACTCCTAGACCCTAAACCCTAAACCCTAAACCCTAAACCCTAAACCCTCCTAGTAAGGCCTCAAGCTGTAAAGCATTAGGGTTTAGGGTTTAGGGTTTAGGGTTTAGGGTAAATCTGAAACCCATGAGGTTTAGGGTTTAGTGTTTAGGGTTTAGGGTTCAGGGTTTAGGGTGTAGGGCTTAGGGTTTAGGGTTTATAGGCATTAGGCCTCAAGCGTAAATCGTGTATCTGAAGCCCCTTAACCTGAAACCCTAAACCTGGACCCCGAATCTTCCACCCCGAGCCCGGAAGTAGAAAGGCTTCAGCTTACAAAGATCGGACTTCCAAATCTTCGAGGGCCCAAGGGTTTGGTGAGGTCTGCGGGGTGGGTTTTGGGATAAGCGTTCAGGCTTCAGGATTTTGGGGAAAGGAGTTGGGGTGTAGAGCTCTGAGGATTTGGGTAAACCTCGAGCCTTCAAGGCGGTTGGCTATAGCATGGTTTAGGGTTTAGGGTTTAGGGTTTAGGGTTTTGGGTTTTGGGTTTTGGGTTTTGGGTTTTGGGTTTAGGGTTTAGGGTTTAGGGTTTAGGATTTAGGGTCATGGCCGTTTGCCGAAAACCCTAGCAGAACCAGCACAACTTCACTCTAGATCCTGCAGCGTTGAGCCCACACCCTTAGCAACCCCCTCTCACCTTAAACCCTATACCCCCAGCACAACACGAATCCAGCAACCCGATGCCCACTTTCCAGCTGATTTTCGGCTGAACTTCCTGAATTTCGAGAAGTTTCCGATATCTGGCAGTTTCCTGAATCGCGAACATCTGCTGAATCGCGTAGCTTCCAGGGCTGTCAACAACAAGGGCGTGGAGGGGAAGAAGGAGGAGTTTCCTGAAATGGGTAGTTACTTGCACAAGTGTCGCGAAAGTTGCCTGAAGCCGACTCACTGAGCTTCTTTCATCGGAACGCCGGCATGGGAAGGGGAAGAAGTGGTGGGGGAGGAGGTAGAGTGGCACCCCTCACCCCACACCAACCCCCACCGGGGCATTTCCACGGCTCGAGTCCTGAGATGGCCAGCTTTCTGCATCGCAAAAGTTTCCTGAGTCACGTGTCACAGAAGGTTCCTGAACCCTAACCCCCTAAAAACCCTAAACCCTAAACCCCTAAAAATTTGAGACCCCTGTCCTTCTCCACAACCACCACGGACTGAGCGGCACGCCGCAGGTCCTTTCAGCAGCGGCATTTTCTTGAAGGCTCATGGGTTTCGGGGTTTAAATGATGTTAAACTACCCTAAACCCTAAGCCGAAGTAAAACCCTAAACCCTGAAACCCTCAGAACTTAAGGCTCCCTTTTCAACCCCTACCCTCGTGGCTACATGAAAGCAGGGCTTCCTGGGGGCGACAGAGGCTCCTAAACCCTAAACCCCTCAACCCTAAAGCCTAAACCCTCAACCACCCCTGAGCCGGCGCTCCACGAGGATTTGGGAAGGGATGCTGAGGGAGCTCCTAGACAAGCAGGGTTTAGGGTTTAGGGTTTAGGGTTTAGGGTTTAGGGTTTAGGGTTCAGGGTTCAGGGTTCAGGGTTCAGGGTTTCGGGTTTCGGGTGCAGAGGGGCTGAGGGACGCCAAGCCCGCAGTCCTCGATGAACTTGAGGCCACTTTCGGTGGCCACCTCCTCGCAAGCGTGCAAAAAAAAAGGCTTTTTTTTTGCTTTAGGGTTCAGGTTTCAGGGTTTAGGGTCCAGGGTTTAGGGTTTAGGGCTTAGGGTTTCGGATTTAGGGTTTAGGGCTCTGCTCCCTGGGAATGAGAATTGAACTTTTTTCATACCTAGAGAGTGAGGAAACCCAACAACGATGTGACTGCAACCAATATTGTCAGCCATTAAAAACCCTCTATGTATATATGTATATATATATATAAACACGCCAAACCCTGACCCTGCTAACCCGAAACCCCAAACTCCCCATGGAAATTGGACAGGCGCCCGGGATTCACCGGCTGGTTCTCCGTAGGGAATGAGGGAATGAGGCCCTAAACCCTAAACCCCAAGCCCTAAGCCCTAAGCCCCAAACCCTAAACCCTAATGCCCCAATTCCCTCAGTCCCTACCTAGGATGGCCCTTAAAACCCTTTGAAAAATATTCTTGAACCTGATCCTCATAAACCCAACAAAGGAAAATATGAAATATCCCAAGGGCCTACCGAGCTAAGAACCAGGGGGACTAAGTAAGAAAATGGTTCCGAGCTCAAGGTTCAAAGTGTGATTTTTTGTTGAGGGGGTTCGGGGCTTAGAGTTCAGGGTTTAGGATTTCGGGTTTAGGGCTTAGGGTTTAGGATTTCGGGTTTAGGGTTTAGGGTTTAGGGTTGAAGGGGAGGGGGGTGCGGCGGGGGGCGGAGTAAGAATTCAGTCACTGAGCGTTGGGATTTGGGGTTTACATTAGGTTTGGCTTAGGACCCAGGAATTTATAAGTCAGAGCGACCAACACAATGTGCAAGTATGTGGAGAGCTTTGGGGCTTCAGGCTGGGTTTAGGGTTTAGGGTTTAGGGTAAAGGGTTTAGGGTTTAGGGTTTTGGGTTTTGGGTTTAGGGTTTAGGGTTTAGGGTTTAGGGTTTAGGGTTTAGGGTTTAGGGTTTAGGGTTTAGGGTTTAGGGTTTAGGGTTTAGCGTTTGGCGTTTAGGGTTTAGGGTTTAGGGTTTAGGGTTTAGGGTTTAGGGTTTAGGGTTTAGGGTTTAGGGTTTTGGGTTTTGGGTTTTGGGTTCAGGCTTAGGGTTGTTTCCGGGACGATCAGCCGTCAGCCGTCCGCCGCGGCTAGTCGGGTGTTGCTAGTTCATGGTTGGGATAGTCTTAAAACTGTTTTTATTCCTTATTGGGTTTCAGTACCCTTAAGAATGTAAAACGTTACCCAACTATGACAAAGGTTAGGTACCTTCTTTCCCCATTTTCCTCCTAAGAACCAGAGATTGGGAGGACCTTCGCGTGTTACCCTAAACCCTAAGCCCTAAGCCCTAAGCCCTAAGCCCTAAACCCTAAACCCTAAACCGTAGCCTGACAGATAACAAATCTGGATGTGGCAGACTTCACTCCGGAGCTCCAGCAAACCAAAACCCAGAAAACCCCCAAACCCTAAACCCTAAACCCTAAACCCTAAACCCTAAACCCTAAACCCTAAACCCTAAGCCTACACCCTAAACCCTAAACCCTAAACCCTAAACCCTAAACCCTAAACCCACCCCCACCCAAAACGCCGAACCTTCCGCTTCGCCAGGATCATCGGGACCACTTGCGATTTGAACCAGGCCTCACGGCAGGGTTCTGCGAACCCCGGGCTCAAATCTCCCGGCCCACGGTTTAGGGTTTAGGGTTTTGGGTTTTGGGTTTTGGGTTTTGGGTTTTGGGTTTTGGGTTTTGGGTTTTGGGTTTAGGGGGGTTTGGGTAAACCCTAAATCGCTTGGGGGCTTGGGGGCTTTTGGGCTTGTTTGGGGTTGTCCCTTTTTTTTTCGGTACATGCTTCCATACAAGCACCCATGACAGCCTCAGGGGAGGGAAAGTCGGAAGTGATCTGGAGGGCCCTCTGTCATCACAAAGACCTGAACACCTCCTCGAGATCTTGGTAGGAAGTCTTAAACCACACCCTTTAACCCTAGACCCTTCAAAACCTAATTATTGCCTCTACCCGACACCCGAAACCCGAAACCCGAAACCCTAAATCCCAAACCTAATGCACTGTTCTGGCGACCTCGACCTGCTTTAGCACCGCCGTTTGCACGTCGTGGGTTCCGCCGCCAGTTGCATTCTTGACCGCATCATCCCGCCACTCGGAGAGGCGTGTCCTGAAAGACTAAACCCTCAACCCTCAACCATAAACCCTCAACCCCCAGATCCCCCCAAAAGGGAAGAGGTGTTGCCTTTTGTGAAGGTGCGGGTTGCGATCTAAATACAGGGATTCGCGTTGGAGGCGTGGTCGGAAGTAAGGTTTTAAAGTACCGCGGTTTCGGGTTTAGGGCTTAGAGTTCAGGGTTCAGGGTTTAGGGTTTAGGGTTGCCATGACAGACCTTAGCCCGAATCCCGTGAACCTTCAAGCAGGGCTGACTGAGGGAAGGAGTGGATCCGCAAGAATATCCCTACATACTCCACATGAATTACCCCTCTCCTAGGGCTGAGGGATTAGGGCTTGGGGTTTAGTGTTTAGGCGGGTTTACTTGGCCACTCCCCCCTAGGTTTAGGGCTTGGTGTTGCGCATAAGGCTCGGGTTTTGGGTTTAAGGTTCAGGGTTTAGAGGTTAGGTTAGGGTTTCAGGATCTATTCTCGCATGGAACAAGCTCACCACGAGATTCGAATGAGGAAGGCTTGTACGAAAACGCGTTCCACTTCTGTTTCAGCTTGGTTGGGGCGGGGCTGCAATGGCTTGAACAAGATTTTTGTCCACGGGAACTGCAAGCCGACACTGGGAGGGTTTAGGGTTTAGGGTTTAGGGCGTAGGGATGAGGCTTTAGGGTTTAGGGTTTAGGATTTAGGGGAGTATCATTCCGTATATGGGGGAGTACGAAACTAGGGGACCCCTAATATAGACCTCCCAAATAGCAGGAGTACCCCAATTTCGGAAGCCACCATATCAGCAGTCAGCGATGACACAATCGTGCATGCGGGCGCGACACCCATTTTGAAAAGGCGCGACACGGTCACCAAACCGGATCCTCGCAACATCGGGCCGCCTTTGTCAGCATGTTTGTGGCATGCATACGGATCTTCTCCCAACCATATACACATTGCATGCTGCAAGCACGGGCGTGCGTCACCACGATGGCGAGGCTCTGCAATGCTTGTCGCGCACCGCATTCCATGACCACGATACTCGTTGCCAGGGATTGCAAGCGTCGAATTCTGTCACTACGATCGTCGCGGTATTGACGATTACGAGGATTTTGCAAGAGTGGAATTCGGGTACTACGGTATTTGCGTGGTATTCGAGTGGCACGGTATTTGCGTTCTGCACGGTGTTTGAACGCAAGCACGGATTTCGGGTACACAACTTTACTCACCACGAGCAACACAGTATTTGCCAGGGCTTCTGCCTGCGTGGCATTCCAGAACCAAGAGCATTTGAGAAGTTGTTGCAAGCGAGCAACGCCGTTTCTCCAAGGTCTTTGCAGCGCGGAATTCGGGAACCACAGCATTTGGGCGTGGAGTTCGGCTGCCACTGTATTTGCGGACTTATTTTGGCTAGCACGGATGTGCGTGGTCTTCACAAGCGCAGCATTCGAGTACCACGATACTTCCGTGGTAGTTGCAAGTGCAGAGAATTGGCGCAGTTTGTTCCAAGAGCTTATGTACTTGCCAAGCGCGGAATTGGGGCACCAAGGTATTTGCCAAAGGTTTTGCAAGGCGGAGCTCCCGGAGCCTTTCGGACATGCCTTCAAGATGCCTCGGGTAGGCCAGCAACCGTATCTTCATTAATGAGGGCACCCTTGTTTGGGGGGGGGGGGGGGGGCTGGATGCTTTACAAGGGAAACCAGAACCAAAAAACAGGGTACAGGGCACCATTGCGCTACCAAGCTGCATCTACAATCGCCGGCGCCACAACTGCCCCGAAACAGGCGTGCTTACAGACCGCCCTTTGCGGCACCGCAAATTTGCGAAGAACCCTCAACCTAAGCCCTAAACCGAACAAGCCCTAAACATTCGTTAACACAAACTTCTCTGCGACAAGCGTTGGAGACGTATACAAGGACCTGAAACCCTAACCCCTACAATACAAAAGATCTAAGCCCCAAAGCAAATACCCCAGGTCTCGAAACTGAGGACAGGTGTGCTTGAACACTTCCCAAATCAGCTTTTACACCCGAAACCCTAAACCCTAAACCCTCAACCCTAGCCCCTAAACCCTAAACCCTAAATCCTCAAGAAGGGAACCCGAAACCCAGGAACTCCCATCTGGCAAGCCATCACCCCAACATCACCAGCTTTACGAGCGTACCCGGGGCCGGCACATCATCTCTTGGATCTTCTTCGCCAGGTCTTTGAAGCCTCTGCAGAATTTCGGGGTTTAGGGTTTAGGGTTTAGGGTCTAGGGTTTAGGGTTTAGGGTTTAGGGTTTAGGATTATGGGTTATTAGGGTTTAGGGTTGGAGGCTCAAGGAAACTTAGCAATTGGTGACCCATGAACCTTCACAGCCCTGCAGGGCTTTGAGGTTTGGGTTTTAGGGTTTGGGGTTTGGGGTTTGGGGTGTAGGGCTTGGGGTTGAGGGCTGTTTAGAAAGAGTTTGAGGGGTTGCGGGTGGATTGAGGGCTTCTGCATGCCGCCCCTTAAACCCTAAACAACCCTTCACCCCAAACCCTAAACCCTATACCCTCAACCCTGAAAACCCTGAACCCCAAACCACCAAAAACCCAATTCCCTAAACCCTAAAGACCCCGTCTGATCCTTGGACCTGTGGCCTGTGAAACTCACAGCCCTGAACAAGAAACCTAAACCGGACTCCTGGAACCCTAAGCCCTAAACCCTAAACCCTTATCCCTAAACCCTAAACCCTAAACCCTAAGCCAGAACGTTAGCACTCCAAACCATCGGCCTATGACGGCTCCTGTTCCCGGACATCGGGCTTTAGGGCTTTGGGGCTTTGGGACTTTACGCTCTTCGGGGTTGAGGGTTCAGGGTTTAGGGCTCAGAGTTTAGGGTTTAGGGTTTAGGGATTAGGGATTAGGGTTTAGGGTCTGAGGGCCCGCGCCTTGCTTTTCTGCAAGATGGCGCCAGGGCTCGAGCGCAGAGAAGGACTTCGCCTCAGGATTGAGGAACCCCAATTGGAGCGTAGGGTTTAGGGTTTAGTTTTAGGGTTTAGGGTTTAGGTGTAGGGTTTAGGGTTTAGGGTTTAGGGTTTAGGGTTTAGGGTTTAGGGTTTAGGGTTTAGGGTTTAGGGCTTAGGGTTTAGGGTTTAGGGTTTAGGGTTTAGGGTTTAGGGTTTAGGGTTTGAACCCTAAACCCCTAAATCCCTAAGACCTGAAACGCTAAACCTTAAGCCTGCAGCCAAGAGTCCAAACAGTAGGTCAGGGCTCAAGTTTCTCTTTAGGCTTTAGGGTTCGGGTTTGGGGTGAGTTTGGGGTGAAGGGCTCAGGGTTTTGGAATAAAGTGCCAGGGCTTGAGGGAAACTGAGAGTTCTCTCTGGCGGCTTGGGGTTTAGGGTTTAGGCTTAGAAATCAGGGTCTAGTGTTTACCCTTTGCCCTCAACCAAAAGCCCCAAACCCCAACCCCCATCACCCTGAAACCCCGAACCTTATCCCGCGACACCCCAACCCCAAAGACAAAACTGGAAAGCCCGAGCCCCTAACACCTTCGAACCCTCGAACCCTCGAGCCCTCGAACCCTCGAACCCTCGAACCCTCGAACCCTCGAACCCTCATACCGATACCCCTAAACCCACCGAAAAAACCTCCACCCTAAACCCTCAAAGCCCTCAACCAAGCCTAGTCGGGTTTCGGGTTTCGGATTTGAGGTTTGGGCTCGAAGGTGTGGGGTCTTAGGGTTTGGGTCTAGGGTTCAAGTCTAATTGCGGTTTAGGTTTTAGGCTTTTCGGGGAGTTTCGGGTTTTAAGGGTTTAAGGTTTTAAGGGTTTGGGGCTTGGGGTTTAGGGTTTAGGGTTTAGGGTTCAGGGTTTAATCCGAGCATCAGTTTAATTAATACCCCCACATTTAAAGAATTTTTTTTGGCCGGAAGCCCGCCGGAAGACTACTTTCCATTAGGGTGGATTTCGTATGGGACAAACCCCCCACATTTAAAGGAATTTTTTTTGGGGGGGGTTCAAAAATCTGTCGGCAGGCTTCTTGTTTTGCTTGCGGAGACGCAAAGCTACAGCACCTCAGGGATCTGCAGCCTATTGTTTTTAATAGAGAATCAATACAGGGCCATGGTCCAACCATTGCGGAACCCTGCATTCCTTATTGTGGAGGGGGGGGGGGGAGGGGGGCCCCCCCACCAATTAATCAGAAGCTCGGATTAGGGTTCAGGGTTTAGGGTTTAGGATTTAGGGTTTAGGGCCCTTTTGATTTTGGGGGTTGAGGGTTTAGGGGTCTCAGGGACTCGGGGAAGTGACTTTATGAGCCTCCGCACTTTCAGGGTTTAGGGTTTCGGGTTTACGGTTTAGGGTTTAGGGTTTAGGGTGTCGGGTTTCGGGTTTGGGGTTTAGGGTTTAGGGTTTAGGGTTTCGAATCTCGGCTGGGTTGAGGGCCTAGGGCTTCCCGAACATGTAGAGTTTAGGAACACGTTCCCCTGTCAGTGCCCTGCAAGCTCAAACACCCCAAGCACCCAAACCCAAACCTTGAGCCCGTAAACCCTAACACCCTTAAACCCTTAAACCCCAGACCCTGAAACCCTGAACCCTGAAACCCCAACCCCAAACCCTTAAACCCTTAAAACCCTTAAACCCTTAAAACACTTAAACCCTTAAACGCTTAAACCCTTGAACCCTTGAACCAAACCCTGAAACCCCAACCCTAAACCCTTAAACCCTTCAAACCCTTAAACCCTTCAACCCTGAACCCCGAAAACTAAACCCTAAACCCCCAAACCCTAAACCCTAAACCCGACACTCGAAACCCTTAGACCCTTAAAACGCAACGCCCCAAGGGGCAGAACGGCGCTGCGCGGAACAGCGCACGAAGAGGGCGATGGCCGTGAACTTCAGAAAGTCCTCAAAGCCTTCCTCGCGCATGGGCCGGCTTCCAAATTCAGGGGTTTAGGGTTTAGGGTTTGGGGGTTTAGGGTTTAGGGTTTAGGGTTTCGGGTTCAGGGTTTGGGGGTTTAGGGTTTCGGGTTTGGGGTATAGGGTTATAACGGCTTAGGGTTTCTTATCCTACGGGTGGCGTATTATATAAAAGACCCGAGGGGGACAGCCCAACACCCAAAAACCCTAAGGCCCTAAAGCCCAAAGCCCTAAAACCCTAAAACCCCAAAAACCCACAAACCCTGAAACCCTAAAACCCTAAAACCCTGAAACCCCAAAACCCTAAAACCCCAAGAACCCCAAGAACCCACAAACCCTGAAACCCTGAAGCCCCAAAACCCGAAAACCCCAAACCAAACTCAGAGCACAGCCGACCTGCTTTTTTTGGCGGGGTTGGGGTTGCTTGCTTTAGCTTGCTTTGCAGGGGAGAAAAGAACCCAAAAAAAACAGGGTAAAGGGTTTAGGGTTTAGGGTTTGGGGTTTAGGGTTTAGGGTTTAGGGTTTAGGGTTTAGGGTTTAGGGTTTAGGGTTCAGGGTTCAGGGTCTAGGGCTACCAAGATGGTTTGACTTTGGCTTCGTTAGGAGGGGGCAGGGAGGTGAGGGGAGGAGGAGCGGAGAGTAGACGCAGTCCCATGTGCCATAGTAGGTTGCCCTAAGCCCTCGACCCTAAAGCCTCAAGCCCAGTGTCTTCTTCGACTCAGAGGGCTTAGGGTTTAGGGTTTAGGGTTTAGGGTTCAGGGTTCAGGGTTTAGGGTTTAGGGTTTAGGGTTTAGGGTTTAGGGTGCTCGTGAAGCGAAAGAAGAAGGCAACGGCAAAAACCGCGAAAGTGGCCGTGGTTAGATTGGCTTTGGCCGGAAAGATGCCAACGTTCTCAGTAAAGTGCCTTAAACCCTAAACCCTAAACCCGAAACTGCTTGGCTTTGGGCGTGGAAGGGCTGTAGGGCTCATGGTTTAGAGTACTATTGGGGTCGGAATAATTATTGGGGTCGGAATAATTACTAAAGGTATTCCCTTCTGATCCCTTAACTGCTACGCAAAAAAAAAACCCAAAAAAAAAGAACGATTCTAATTCTTAAGGCCCCTACAGTAGGGCGGGTTTAGGGTTGAGGGCTTTGGGGGGTTTACGGGCGCTTAGTGGTTTAGGGTTTAGGGCTTTGGGGTGCTTAGTGGTTTAGGGTTTAGGGCTTTAGGGTTTAGGATTTAGGGGTATGTTTGGAGTCGAGGTTGAGAATGCACACGGGTTTCACCTATTGCAACCCCCTTCACTCACAGTGGGTTTAGGGCTTAGGCCACCGGGCCGACGATGGCGTCACTTTTGTGGAAATGTTCCCCCTTATACTAACAGTCCTTAATGGGGTTTATATGATAAAGGCAGGTGGCCTCTTTATGTGTCGCCCTTATACCTTACTATAGCCCTTAGTTACCCAAATAAGAACCCTGAAAGAAAGCCCCTATGAATCAGAAAGCCTCCTTAAAGAGACCACCAACCCATATAAGGTTTGTAGGTACCCCCTATAGTAATACCTATGAAGGACTGTAAGTATAAGTGGGAACAAGTCATCAGCATGCGCTGGGCGCCAGGCGATCGTCTTGTAGTACTGCTTCTTGGCTGCGGGAGAAATCACCCCCAAAAACTCGGTACCTTGAAACTCCCCTAAGCCTCTCAAAATTCGGCCGATGCAGGTACAACGTGCCTCTCAAAAACCCCCCCACCCCCACCCCCACCCCCCAAAAAAACAAGAAGAATCCGGGAGACGCTTGTCTTCACAGAGGGACCCCCCTCCCCCCCTCCCACGCCGAAACAGTCCCCAGATCTTGGGCAAACTTGCTTGTCTTGACAGATTATAGGCCCCCAAACTCTAAACACTGTTAGGGTGGGGCATAGAACTAAGGATCCTACACCCTGAACTCTTCAACCCCAAGCCCCCAAACCACCAAGCCAAACCATAAGCCCTGAACCTTAAACCCCCGACACGACCCTACCCCTAACTACATGAAGATTTTTGGCTTGGGGTTTTTGGGAGGGGGGTTCGGGTTTGGGGTTTTAGGGTTCAGGGTCCTAGGCTTCAAGGGCGGCGGGTGGGTGTGTTGGAGTTCTTGTGGGCTGGGGTTGATGGTTGAAAAGAAGCTTGATGTGCGACCAGTGGTGCATGTGCATGCGGGTTTAGGGTTTAGGGTTTAGGGTTTAGGGTTTTAGGGTTTAGGGTTTAGGGTTTAGGGTTTAGGGTGTGGGCCCGTCCGGAACCCCAAACCACGAACTTTTGGAAAATACAAAAGACGACCCTGGCCTGGGGGCGTTGGATTTCAAGGGCCGGGCCGTTTGGGCTACAGTTAACGCCAGAAAGTTGGAACATAGTAACCCCTATACCCCAAAAAGGTATACTAAAGGGAATCCCCACCTCCAAACAAACTTCAACCATGTTCCAACTTTCTGGAGTTTACTGTAGGGGATATGAACCCTAAACCCAAAACCCTTAACCCTCAAAACCATAAAACCCTAAAAACCCCAAAAGGCTATTGAAATCTTCCACCCGGTTGGCGCTTGATTACCAAGGCAAGGCTCCCTGGAAATCTAAGCCTAAACCCTAAACCCTCAAACCCTAAACCCTAAACCCCAAACCCCAAAGCCTAAACCCCAAACCCCAAACCCTCCTTTTTTTAGGGGGAAGAAAGAGACCGCTCGAAATCCTCAAAACCCCTCAAGTCTGCTCTGATTCTTCGGATACCTTTGGGGTTTAGGGTAGGGCTTAGGGTTTAGGGTTTAGGGTTTAGGGTTTAGGGTTTAGGGTTTAGGGTTTAGGGTTTAGGGTTTAGGGTTTAGGGTTTAGGGTTTAGGGTTTAGGGTTTAGGGAGTTTAGGGTTTAGGGTTTAGGGTTTAGGGGGAGGTTCCCCCATTTACTAACAGTCCGTTACTATGGATTATAGGTACAACCCCCCCCCCCCCCCAATTACGATCCCTGTTAAGGACTGTGAGTCATCCCAAAGCTACCTTTCTTACTTACTCCCTTTTTAACGTCATTCATCCTCGAAACCTCGAAAGCCCAAACCCTACGAACGCATGTTATTTGCGACCGAAGGACGACCTTGTTGATCAGAATTGGTCTGTCGTCCTGCAAGAGCATGCCACACAACCGAAACCCCCAAAACCCAACGCCCTAGAGCTTAGGGTGTCTCCAAGGGCAACTCACCTGGGAATGAAAGGGGTGCCCTTTTTTGGCTTGAACCTAAACCTCAAAAAGGGGGAATACGGGCCTACTCTGGGTTCAAGCGAGAAAATCGGATGTAGGGTGTGGGGTTTCGGGATCAGGGCTTACTCATTTAGCAAATGAACAACACTTGATTCCTCAACTTGCAAGAAGAAAAGAATAGGATTTGCTGTGGGAGTCGCTGAAGCTCCTGTGCTGTATGAGAGCATGATCGCAGTTGAAAGCAGAAACTCTAACCCTAAACCCTACAAGCACCTAACTTTGACTCAACCACCAACGTCCTCACGAAAGCATTGGCAGGAGGACAACTTGAAGCTGCCAATCGCGTCAATGAAGAGCGGCAAGGTGCTCTCCTGGGAACCGGCTCTTTAGGGTTTAGGGTTTAGGGTTTAGGGTTTAGGGTTTAGGGTTTAGGGTTTAGGGTTCAGGGTTCAGGGTTCAGGGTTTAGGGCGTTTGGGCTTTGGGGCTTGAAGGATTTGGAGCTTGGGGTTTTTTGTGGCGTTAGGGGTTTTGAAGCAAGCTGAAGGACTGAAGGATCAGCCTGCATCTTCAGGCCGCAAAACGTGCCCAAAAATGACCCCCCCCCCCTCTTTTGCGGCCCTCCACCCTAAAACCCTAAACCCCAAACCCTAAACCCTAAACCCTAAACCACCGTTTGCCTCTGCTGCTTCCTGCTTGCAGTCTAGGTCATCTACCTCACGCCTCAGGGGCTCGGTGCTTGGGGCTTAGGTTGGGATGTCCGTAATAGGGTAGGGTTTAGGGTTTAGGGTTTAGGGTTTGGGGTTTAGGGTTTAGGGTTTAGGGTGTAGGGTTTGGGGTTTGGGGTTCCCCATATTTGAATCCCTACTAAGGCCTGATAGTATAAGGGGGAGCATCCCAAGGCTTAGGGTTTGAGGAGGTCGGGTATTCTGCTTTGGGGCCGTGGTGGCCCCCCTCTGTGTGATCGCGCAAAGCTTCCCGCACGAAAGGATCCGCGCAGATCTCGATGTCCATCGGGTCGTGCACGAGGAGAAAGCAGACCCACTCATAGACGCACCAAAGCCTGGCGCTTTGAAACCCTAAACCCTAAACCCTACACCCTAAACCCTGAACCGTATTTCACTCTCAGAAACCCTGAGGTGTTGGCTCTCTGAGGTCACTTCTGGGCCAGACCTTTAGGGCCGAGGGCGCAGAGGTTTGGGGTTTTGGGTTTAAGGCGTAGAGGCCTTGTGTATTCTGTCAACTACAGCCGCTTTTTCTGGTTTGGGGACCCTACAGTGACACAGGCAGTTGCTCATGAAGCAGAGAAGGTTAAAAGATATTTCAAGGGTAGAAATACTCTTGACTCTAGGATTTACCAGTTCTGGAGATCCTAGAACCCCCTAGGAGCCATTCGAAGGTGTTCGGGGCAGGCGGGTCTGGAGAAGTGGCGATGGTGGCTCAAAAAACATCCCAATTCCGGGCTCGATGTTCCTGATACTAGCAGTCCTTAGTCATATTCCGGACTTCTAGAGGGAACATCTCAACATTGCGACTTACTTGCACTAGACGGAGGGTTCAGTTCTTGCGCTCCGGCGCAAAGACCTCCTTCAGCCACCCGAAACCCTACCTCCTGCACCTGAAGCCTAGACCCTAATGTCCCGTTCCAGACCTCGTGAAGTATGTCCATGGGACCAAAACCACCAGCCCGTCGCAGAAGATGATGTACCTTGCAAGCTTCGGTCTAGGGTTTTAGGGCTTATTAAGGGGTATAAGGAAGGAGCCCTAGAAGTAGAAGGGACCCTTAACCTTCTTCCCCTGAATAACCCCCTATATAACCCCTTATGTCGTCCTTATAGACCCAAGTAGCCCCTAAATAACCGCCAAAGAAGCCCCCTAAGTAGCCCCTAAATAACCCCCAAAGAAGCCCTAAGGCCCCTAAGTAGCCCCTAAATAACCCTCAAAGAAGCCCTAAGGCCCCTAAGTAGCCCCTAAATAACCCCCAAAGAAGCCCTAAGGCCCCTAAGTAGCCCCTAAATAACCCTCAAAGAAGCCCTAAGGCCCCTAAGTAGCCCCTAAATGACCCCCAAAGAAGCCCTGAGGTCCCTAGGTAAGAGTCCTTCCCTTAGTCCCTTGAGCTTAGGTTCAGGGCATCAAGGGCACCGCACCCCCCCTTCCTGGCTCGGGCACGGGGTATCTGAGGCCCTGAGACCATCAGGCCCCCCCCCCCTTCCCAAGAAGAAAACAGCGTAAAGCTTGCAGTTCTGGGGCTGAACTTTTCTAGGCCAAAACCCGAACCCCCCGCCAACCTAAACCATAAACCTTAAACCCTAAACCCTAAACCCTAATAACCCTAATAACCCTAAACCCGAAACCCTAAACCCTAAACCCTAAACCCTAAACCCTAAACCTCAACCCCCGATCCCTGCCGAGGTGCTCCTCAAGGAGGTTCACGCACCATCCCGTCAGCTCTTGGTCGCCCTGCCTGAGACCCCGCAGGGCGTCGCTTAGGAGCAACATTTGGGGGTTCTTAGAAGGTTTGTGGGGTTTAGGGTTTAGGGTTTAGGGTTTAGTGTTTAGGGTTTAGGGTTTAGGGTTCTTGGGGTTTTCTTGGTGTTTTTGTGGATCCTTCGGCTGGCTCTTCGGCTTTCTGGGGGGTTGAGGGGGTTGAGGGGGTTGAGGGGGTTGAGGGGGTTGAGGGGGTTGAGGGGGTTGAGGGGTTCGGGCTTGTTTGGGGCTTCGGGCACACGGTTTGTCCAGACACCAGCACGACCGGGCCACTTTTGCCAGATGCGTGATGGGGGGAGAACATGGAACAACCCAAAACTCCACTCCTGCTAGGGTTTAGGGCTTAGGGCTTAGGGCTTAGGGTTTAGGGTTGAGGGTTGAGGGTTGAGGGTTTAGGGTTTAGGGTTTAGGGTTTAAGGGTTTAAGGGTTTAAGGGTTTAAGGGTTTAGGGTTTGGGGTTTAGGATAAGATGCCCACCCCCCCCCCCCCCCCACTTCCAGAGCCCAACTCCGAGGGGCGGAATGCAGCACTTGTCCACCCAGTAGTAAACCTCCTTCCACCTGGTGCAGGGTTTAGGGTTTAGGGTTTAGGGTTTAGGGTTTAGGGCTTAGGGTTTAGGGTTTAGGGTTTAGGGTTTAGGGTTTAGGGTTTAGGGTTTAGGGTTTAGAGTTAGCAAGGATGGATATCGAACTTAAGGCTAAGTTCAAGCAGCAACCCCCCAAAACCTGCAGGGTCTAGATTTAAATTGCCCGGAAATTTTGGGTTTAGGGTACAGCAATGTGTAACTTTCGAGTTGGAGGCTGACATGCCCGGCAAAGACAAAGACGCCAGAGAAGACTCCAAACGAGCGGATAGTCCAACTACACAACCTAACCCCCAAACCCCTCAACCCCGAAACCTGACACCCCCTAGCCCTAAACCCTAAATCCTAAACCCTAAATCCTGAACCCTACACCCGAAACCCTAAACCCTACACCCCCAAGCCTACTCTGCAGGTTTCTGCGTGGGCGCTTCAGACCAAAGGGGCCACCCTGTCTTGGGCTTAGGGTTTAGGGTTTCGGGTTTGGGGTTTAGGGTTTAGGGTTTGGGATTAGGGATTAGGGCTTTAACGCAAAACCTGGTTTTTTGGCGGCCTTGAGATCTCTTGAGGGTTTAGGTTCGTACCTAAACCCTGAACCCTAAACCCCAAACCCTAATTAAACTCCAAGCTTGTGCGCTGGCTTCAGGGTTCCTTTCTCAGAGGCCCCTCTGCACCTCGACGTGTCGCCCAGCTCGCGTGCAGCGATGTCCTGGCGTGCATCAGTCCCCTGGTGTGTGTTCTTTTGGGTTTAGAGTTCATCAAAGGCTTGGAGGACAGGGTTTAGGTTTTAGGGTTTGGGGCTTCGGGTTGCGGGTTTAGGGTGTGAATCAGTCCCCTCAACTTCGACCTTAAACCCTGAAACCCAGCAACCCTCAAGCCCTACAACCCTAAAACGCCCAACCTTCGTTGATCCCATGAACCTCTGGGGTTGTTGGGTTGATCCGTGCTTTACCAACAACCCCCAAAACATACCCTGGTTCATTCTTAGCCACCAATCCCCAAAACATACGTTTAGGGTTTAGGGTTTAGGTTTAGGGTTTAGGGTTCAGGGTGCACGGTTTAGGGTTTAGAGTTTAGGGCTTAGGGTTTAGGGTTTAGGGCTTAGGGTTTAGGGTTTAGGGTTTAGGAATACCCTGGTTCAGAACTCGGGGTTTAGGCTTAGGGTTTAGGGTTTGAAGTTAGGAACTCTGAACCATTGCCCAGGATTTGAACCCTCGAAACACCAAAAGCCGCCATCATTGCAGGCTATACGTTTGAGGAATCGTACTCCATTCCTTTGGGGTTCCTTCTCCAAAGCCCAGATTTCACACTTCTCCTGTTACCCCCACCCTAAACCCTAAAACCCTAAACCCTAAATCCCTAAACCCTAAACCCCAAACCCTAAACCCTAAACCCTAAATCCCTAAATCCCTAAACCCTAAATCCCTAAACCCTAAACCCGAAACCCCAACGCGCCAGATCTCCAGGGGCCTTCGAGACGCAGCAGATCTCGGCGGCCTTGGCCTCCGCGTAGCCTGGGAAGAATTCCCAGGGCTCCGCAGGACTTCGGGGGTTGTAGGGTTTAGGGTTTAGGGTTTAGGGTTTTGGGTTTAGGGTTTAGGGTTCGGGGTTTAGGGTTTAGGGTTTAGGGTTTAGGGCTTGGGGCTAGCGGCTTCGGAACAAACAGGACCTAAACCCCATTCTCGACCTGAAGAACCCAAAACCATTCTTGTAGGTTCTTACGAAATTGATATAGCCCCTTGTAGAAATACATAGGCAGCCTAAGTAGGTTTTGGGCTCTTCAGGTATACCCTATACCCTAATACCCTGCAACCCTAAACCCTAAAACCCTGAAACCCATGCACCCTAAAACCCTAAAACTCTAAACCCTAAAACCCAAACCCCTAAAACCCAACACCAAAAAAACCCTAAACCCCTAAACCCCAAAAAAATCTCCGAACCCAAGCAGCTCCCCTTCCCCATCAGATCATCCCACTCCTGGCAGGGGGCACGCCGGGCTGGGTCACGGGGTTTAGGCTTTAGGATTTAAGGCTTCTGGGGGCTTTTTGGTGGGGCTTTTTTGGGGTGCTTTGTTGGGGTCTTTTGGGGGCTTTTGGGGGTTTTTGGGAACTGCTTTTGGGGGCTTTTGGGGGCTTTTTGGGGGAGGCTTTTGGGCTCAAGATTGAGAGGCTGGGTCCAATGTTCGGGGCCTCAAGCGCGGAGACCCTACACCCCTGAACCCCAAACCCCAAACCGCGTATCAGGTGAGCTGGGAGCGGATTTTCAGCCCCTGAAACGCAGATTCGTGCACCGCGGGTTCGCGCACCGGCGGTCATGAGCATCAGCGGGGTCTTCTTCTGGTCACGTGGCCCCCCTGAACTCCAGACGCTTACGAAACCAACTGCCCCAGTGATTTGGCACGATTGACGAGGCAGGAAGAGCGCATCATGAGCATCAGCCGGGCCTTCTTCTGGTCACGTGGCCCCCCCTAAGCTCCAGACGCTTGCGAAACCAAGTGATTGGGCACGATTGACGAGGCGGGAGGAGCGCATGAGCATCAACCGGGTCTTCTTCTGCTCACGTAGTCCCCGTGAGCGCCAGACGCTTGCGAAACCAACTGCCCCAGGAAGAGTGCATCATGAGCATCAGCCCGATCTTCTTCTGGTCACGTGGGCCCCCCTAAGCTCCGGACGCTTGCGAAACCAACTGCCCCAGTGATTTGGCACGATTGACGAGGCAGGAAGAGCGCATCATGAGCATCAGCCGGGTCTTCTTCTGGTCACGTGGCCCCCTGAACTCCAGACGCTTGCGAGACCAACTGCCCCAGTGATTTGCACGATTGACGAGGCAGGCGGAGCGCATCATGAGCTCAGAAGGTTCTTTCGGTCATGTGGCCTCCCTGAGCTCCAGACGCTTGCAAACCCAAAGGCTCCTAAGCTACAAACACCCGAAACCCGAAACCCGAAACCCTAAACCCTAAACCCTAAACCCAACCTTCAAAACCGAGATGACTGAGATAACACTTGCAACCCTTAGAACACCAAACCTGAAAGCCACTCAGCACAGAAAACCCTTTAGAATCAAGAGCTTACTGGGGGTGGTAGAGAGAGCAACACCCCCAAACCCCCAAAAACCTGAAACCTAAGAAACAACACCACCAAACCCAACAGCCCGGAGCCCTCGACGAAAAAAAACAAGACATCCTCAGTGATAAACAATGAAAGATGCTTGAACCCTAAACCCTAAACCCATCAACCCTACACCCTAAGCCCCCCAAAACACCCCTAAAACCCGAAAGCCTAAAGACCATGAAACCCTCCGCCCTTAAAACCCTAGCCCGTGTGCAGAACACTTCAGCACCAGACCCTCGCAGCCCTTTTAAAACCTCTAGCCCTAAGACACCTAAAGCCTAACAACCTCCCAATGCCCCCACCGTCCAAACCTGTTAAACCCTAAACCCTAAACCCTAAACCCTAAACCATAAACCCTGAACCCTAAACCCTAAACCCTAAACCCTAAACCCTAAACCCCAAACCCTAACCCTGTTAAGTCCCAAGCCCTTCATGAAGGAGGCCCGGGTGGCCCCGAGCGGGGTTGGGATGTTCCCCCTGATACTAACAGTCCTTACTGGGGTAGGGCCTAGGGTTTAGGGTTTAGGGTTTAGGGTTTAGGGCTTGGGGTCTGGGGTCTGGGGATTGGGGATTGGGGTTTGGGGTTTGGGGTTTGGGGTTTAGGATTTGGGGTTTAGGATTTGGGGTTTGGGGTTTGGGGTTTGGGGTTTGGGGTTTTCAGTTTAGGGTTCTCCCATTATAATCCGTATTCAGGATTCTTGTACAAGGGGGAACTACCAAGGCTTAGCGTTCAAGGTTTACGGTTGAGGCTTTAGATCCGAACGCCAACAAGCTTGACCCCAAAACCCCGAAACCCCCAAACCCCTCAGCCCCTAAGCCCCTAGACACCACACCGCCTAAGCCCCTAAACCCCTAAACCCTCAACCCTAAACCACCCTAAAACCCTAAACTCCAAACCCGAAACCCCAAACCCTAAACCCCAAACCCCTAAACCCTAAACTCCAAACCCGAAACCCCAAACCCTAAACCCCAAACCCCTAAACCCTAAACCCTAAACCCTAAACCCCTAAACCCCTGAACCCCTAAACCCCTGAACCCCTAAACCTCCAAAACCCCTAAACCCCCGAGGGTAGAAAAACTTCCGACCGGCCTTCGGGATGCCCCAGGACTGCGAGAGGAAGCGGATCTTGCCCCGCTTCACCTGGGTGCATTTTAGGGCTTTGGGGTTTTAGGGTTTTGGGGTTTTGGGGATTTAGGGGTTTTAGGGTTTTGGGGTTCTAGGGTTTTAGGGTTTTGGGGATTTAGGGTTTTAGGGTTTTGGGGTTTTTGGGGTTTTGGGGATTTAGGGTTTTAGGGATTTAGGGTTTTAGGGTTTTGGGGTTTTAGGGTTTTGGGGTTTTAGGGTTTTAGGGTTTTGGGGATTTAGGGTTTCAGGGTTTTGGGGTTTTGGGGTTTTGGGGTTTTGGGGTTTTGGGGTTTTGGGGTTTTAGGGTTTTGGGGTTTTAGGGTTTTAGGGTTTTGGGGTTTTAGGGTTTTGGGGTTTTGGGGTTTTGGGGTTTTAGGGTTTTGGGGATTTAGGGTTTTAGGGTTTTGGGGTTTCAGGGTTTTGGGGGTTTAGGGGTTTTGGGGTTTTGGGGTTTTAGGGTTTTGGGGTTTTGGGGTCTTGGGGATTTAGGGTTCACCTAATCTATTTTGTTTTGCATGTTTGGATGGGTGCATGGGGGTTTAGGGTCTGGGACTTTCTTAGGGTTTAGGGCTTGAGGTCTGGGATTTTCAGGGTTTAGGGTTTAGGGTCTGGGAAATTTAGGGTTCAGGGCTTAGGGCCTAGGATTGTCAGGGTTTAGGGTTGAGGGTTTAGGGTTTCGAGGCTCATTTCGAGGTTAGGGTTTAGGGTTTACGGTTTAGGGTTTGAAGTTTAAAGGTTCGGGGTTAAGGGTTGAGGGTCCTGGGTTTCGGAGTTTCAGGGTCTGGGGGTTTAGAGTGCAAGTTGTTTGTTGTTTTGTTGCTGCTGTTTTGCTGTTGCTGCGGGGCGCTTATTTGTTTGCTGTTGCTGCGGCGCACGGGCACGTTCACTCAGTTACTGGCGGTCCCGTGTTTTTTTGTTGCTGTACGCACGTGGAGGGCACGTTTTGCTTTTTGCTACGACACCCGGGCTTCCGGGTTCAGGGGGTTAAGGGTTTAAGAGGGGTACTATAGTCCCCATTAAGGACTGTTGGCGAAGGGGGGACACATCCCAAAGTATGTCGACCCCCAGAAACCCTAAACCTCAAGCCCTCCGAATTCAGGGAAGATTCTTCTCCAATCAGACGAGGAGTTTTACATTCAAACTCGCGGAGCGACCCCTGAGGAAGGGATATGGGAGCCTCTGCAAGACGCTGTGAGAATGTAAGGTCTCCAGGCCCGCTGTCTTGAGGGAGCGCGAAGCCATGAAAGTGGTTCGTTGAAAAACAGGGACTCCTTGCATAAAGAGAGCACATTCTGCATAGGATGTTTGCAGGGAGTCTCAAAAAGCAACCCGAAAAAGTCATAAGCCCCTGAAAGCCCCTGAACCCTGAAACCTAAACACCTATGAATGCGCAACCCCTTGAAACCCTGAACCCTGCAACCAAAAACACCCTAAACCCTAAACCCTAAACCCTAAACCCCTGAACCCTGAAACCAAAAAAGGATTGGAAAGCTTCTTTTCTCAGCAAAGCTTCGAACTTCGGCGAACTGGCCTCCTCCATCTCCACCAGCCAGTCCCTCAGCTGATACTTTGCTGAGGGTTTAGGGTTTAGGGTTTAGGGTTCAGGGTTGAGGATTTAGGGTTTAGGGTTTCGGGGGTTTCCGCAATTAGGGGTACCTTATGGGGGTCCTTGGGGGGGGACTATATTAGGGTCTATAGGGGCCCCTTATTTTCGTAAACCCCCAATTCGGGTTTAGGGTTTGGGCGGCTGCGTCTGCAATCCGTTCGCCTCCCCACCGCCTCGGGTTTAGGGTTTAGGGTGTAGGGTTTAGGGTGTAGGGTTTAGCGTTTAGGGTTGAGAGTGTAGGGTTTAGGGTTCAGGGTTTAGGGTTTAGGGTTTAGGGTCTAGGGTTTAGGGTTTAGAACTCCAAACACGCAGCCCTCAAACCCACAAGGCAAGACGCTCGGAAATGGCGTAGAAGTTGTCCAGCTTCGTGTAGGCGCCCCAGAAAAACTCGGTCTTGTCCAGCTCCTCCGATTTCGGGCTTCAAGGCCAAGGACCCTAAACCCGAAACCCGAAAGCCGAAACCCTAAACCCTAAACCCTACTCAGCAAGTCTTTCGGTTCGTGGCTTAAGGACGGGGGTTGGGGCTCAGGGTTGCGCGTGAAGGTTGGATTCCGGGTGGAACCCAAGGTTAACGGTTTAGGGCCGTTTAGGGTTTAGGGTTTAGCCTAGGGTTTAGGGTTTAGGGTTTAGGGTTTAGGGTTTAGGGTTTGGGGTTTAGGGTTTAGGGTTTAGGGTTTAGGGCTGAGGAATTCACTGTTCTTGCCACCCTGCTGCCGTCCTTGAGGTCGGTCCAGGGGGAGGACACGAGGTCAGCGGAGCAGGCCCTTCCGCAACACGAGCTGCGCACTTAAAAACCCTAAACCCTAAACCCTAAACCCTAAACCATAAAACCTAAACCCTAAACCCTAAACCCTAAACACCCCACCTCCCCCCCCCCGAGCAGAATACAGCATGCAGGTCTTTTCGAGTTCAGGATGCAGAGTTTAGGGTTGAGGGATGCTCTATCGCACATTTCCCCCCCCCCCCTCCCCCGCGCAAATTCCGATAGCGCATAAGGGACGTTGATTGCAGCTATACCGACAAGCCCCCTTTGATTCTTACTTGAGCACTTTTGGCCGAAGGGGGGGGGTGCGAATTCCAGGGTAAGAAGGGGGGGGGGGTGGGGCTCTTCCCAGCAGAAAGCCCCAAAAACTGCCGAAGGCCCTTCTTCGCTCCCTAAGCCCCGATCCCGATCCCGCGCCTGAAGAGAGTGGCACCGACGCGGATGCGGTCCTGCGCGCCGAGGGAGAAGTAGAGGTGCTGGCCATTGGTGGGCTTCGGGCGATTCTGCGTGATGGCGTCAATCTTGGCCCGCTTCGTCGCCAGAACTTCCTTCACGGTGCTCACCCAGTCCTTGCAGCTTTGCGGTGCTTTAGGGTTGGGGGTTTGGGGGTTTAGGGTTTAGTGTTTACGGTTTAGGGTTTAGGGCTTAGGGTTTAGGGTTTAGGGTTGAGGGTTTTAGGAACTGTTTCTTTGTTCGAGTTCCGCTGCTATACTCGAAGTTCCTCCTCACCCTTGCGTGCTCTTTGCTCGGCCCTAGTGTTAAGCACGTGCAGATTGAGGCCTGCCACAACACAGCTGGAATTAGCCTAGGGTTTAGGGTTTTGGGTTTAGGGGTTAGGGTTTAGGGTTTAGGGTTCAGGGTTTAGGGTTTAGGGTTTAGGGTTTAGGGCTGAGGGTTTAGGGCTTAAGGTTTAGGATGCGGATACTCCTAACTTGATTCTGCTCGACCATGCACCTCGCCCTTAAACGCTATCGTGCGGTGCAGGGTCTTTTTTGGGAGGTCCTAACTGCATTCCACTGTAAGAAGCGAGGGGGGTCTAGAACAGCCCTAGAGGTTAGAGTTTAAGGCTTGAGGTCTACAGCTTAGGGCTTAGGAAACCCCAAACCCTAGCCCCTAAAAACCCTAAGCCCTAAGCCCTAAGCTCTAAACCCTAAACCCTAAAGCCCCTAAACCCTAAACCCTAAACCCTAAACCCTAAACCCTAAAGCCCCAAAACCCTAAACCCTACTCTTTACGGGATGCATGTTTGGGTTCAGCGATGTGGGGTCTCCTCCTCCACAGCAGGTGAAGCTGCCACGGTGACCAACAAGTCATCTGCCTCCGTTGCGGCGCAGCACCTTGTGGCCCTAAACCCTAAACCCTAAACCCTAAACCCTAAACCCTAAACCCTAAACCCTAAACCCTAAACCCTAAACCCTAAACCCTAAACCCTAAACCCTAAACCCTAAACCCTAACCCTAAACCCTAAACCCTGAACCCTAAATGCAGATTTAGGATTTCGGGATCAGGGTGAAGGGCTACGAGTCTTTTGGCTCGACAGGTTCGGCGGATGACATCAGCAAACTCCTAGAATCGCAATAAGTTCTACAGCAAGTCTCCCAAAGCACCCCAAACTGCAAACCCCTGCACCCTGAAACCCTAAACCCCAAACCCCAAACCCTAAACCCTAAACCCTGAACCAACATTCCCCACCCAGCCACTGACACGACAGATTCCTGACATCAGGGTTTTGGGGTCAGGGTTTGGGACTTTAGGGGGTAGGGTATTAGGATTTGGGCGTTTAGGGTTTAGGGTTTTAGGGTTTTGGGGTTAGGGTTTAGGGTTTTAGGATTCTGGGCTGAGGGTTTAGGGTCCGCCGACCCTGGCGGCGTGTTGGATGGTTTTGGGGGAGGGAACCCTCCCCCTCCCCTCCCTTACACCCCAAAAAACCTTAAAACCCCCAAAAACAGCAGCCAGGCCAAGACACTTGCCAGAGTTTGTTAAGGTTCAGGGCTTCGGGCTGCGGGGATTTGAGCTTTGGGCGTTGAGAGGTTTAGGGCCTTTTGGGTCGGCGGCCTGAGCCGGAGGCTCCTAAATCTTAGGGTTTGGGGTTTAGAGTTTGGGGATTTGGGTTTAAAGTTTAGGTTTAGAGTTTAGGGTTTTTGGGTTTTGGGGGGGGGGGGGGGGGGGGCTACCTGACTCTGGGGTACCGTAGCCAAACCGGCAATTGCCTCACACTTCCGGGTCCAAGGTCACAGCAAAGAACTACCAAGGGTAGGGTTAGCTGTTTAGGGTTTAGGGTTCGGGGTTGCGGGTTTAGGGTTTAGGGTTTAGGGCTAGGGTTATGTTGTGACTCCTGACCGGACTTGCAACATTTAGGGTTTGGGGCTTGAAGCATCAAGGAGAGGCAACCTGCGTGACTCCAAAATACAAGTGGCTGGTGCTGAAGATGATTAGAGCACACCCGAGCGAACATCAGGAGAGGTCAACCTCCCTTAACCCTAAACCCTAAACCCTAAACCCTAAACCCCGGCACAGGAAGAGGCAGCTGGGCGCCAGACCAAAACGAGGCCAAAGCCGCGTGAAAGTCGAAGAAGCTGAATGTACGTCCGGCACCTCGGGTTTGTACCACAACCCCTGCCAGTCTAGGGGTTGCTTGGGAGCCTTAGGATGTCCGAGTTTGGGGTTGCGACTCGCAAAAACTCGCAACTTGCGAGTGTAGGGCCCCTACCTAGGAATCCTGAACGGAAGCTAAGCGTCTCCTACAACCTCCCCACCCCTAAAGCCTCGGGGGAGGCACGCCGTGTTGGAGGATTCCGTGCTGAGGGTTGCTCAGAACCAGGTGCCCTAAACCCTGAAACCCTGAAACCCTAAAACCCAGGAACCCAACACTCTAACACCCTCTGTTCCCCCTGATACAGGGAGGGGGGTTTTCATAGGGGATACTATCATCCCTATTAAGGACTGTAAAAGGCGGGAACTTCCCAAGGTTCTAGGGCCCTAAACCGTAAACCCTAAACCCAAAACCCTAAACCCTTCTAGGGGTTCAACCAGGAAACTTGCCGTTTCAGCGGGCGCAGCGGTTGATGCTTCCTGCGCCTCGGCTTCCTTCGGCTTCTCCTGCGGTGGAGCCAGCGAAGTCCAAGGAAACCCCATGTAAAGTTTAGGGTTTAGGGTTTAGGGTTTAGGGTTTAGGGTTTAAGGTTTAGGGTTTAGGGTTTAGGGTTTAGGGTTTAGGGTTTAGGGTTTAGGGTTTAGGGTTTAGGGTTTAGGGTTTAGGGTTTAGGGTTGATATTCAAAGTATTTCCAAAACGACACCCAAAAGATAGACACTCTTCAATCGTTGTATCAGGAACCCTGTATACACTTTCCGAAAACAGTCACCCTGGAACAGTCACCCTGGAACGTAAACCCCAAGTAGGGGAAAACAGCTATACACTCACCAAGAACAGTTAGATAAACCCTGCTTCATATCATAACCCTACTTCCCTTATACTAAACCCCCAAACCCCTAAACCCCTAGCCCCTAAACCCCTAAACCCTAAACCCTACTCCCAAAATGGCCCGTCTCTCCCCTCAGGATTTGACCAAAGGGGTCCCCTCACCCAAGGGTCCGCGCCCTGTTGGGTTTAGGGTTTTTTAGTATTTAGGGTTGAGGGTTTGGGTTCTTGGGTTTAGCACGAACCCTAAACCCTAAACCCTAAACCCTAAACCCCAAACCCTAAACCCTAAACCCTAAACGTCCTGACCCAGGGTCACGGTTAAGTGCCAGTGGAGCTCATTGGCTGCCTCCGCTGTAGAAACGAAGCCTTAGCGTCGCAATCGATGCAGGGTTTAGGGTTTAGGGTTTAGGGTTTAGGGTTTAGGGTTGTTAGGGTTTAGGGTTTAGGGTTTGGGGTTTGGGGTTTGGGGTTTGGAGTTTGGGGTTCAGGATTTGGGATTTAGGGTTTGGGGCTTAGGGTTTCAGGTTTGGGGTTTAGGATTTGGGGTTTAGGGTTCAGGGCCTGAGCTGTCGTGTAGGGGTCCGTGGAGGTCCGTCCTGGAGCCGTTTGTCAAACTCGCGCGACGTTCTCTATGCCCAAAACGACCTCAACTTTCCCCCGAAAGACCAAGCCTGCATTCACTTAGAGTCCTCCCCCCCAACCTTTCCCTAGCTCCTTGTGAAAGGCGACCCTGAACCCCCTAAACCCTAAACCTAAACCCTAAACCCTAAACCCTAAACCCTAAACCCTAAACCCTGGAGAAAGAGGCCAACCGCGTCCCATCTTGGTCGGAGTCGCTCTTGCCCTTCATAGCCTCTGCCTGCCGCACTAAGGGTTGATAGGGCATTCGAGTCATGCCCTGAATCCCGAAGCCCCAAATCGGGTTAGGGTTTAGGGTTTAGGGTTTAGGGTTTAGGGTTTAGGGTTTAGGGTTGAGGGTTGAGGGTTGAGGGTTGAGGGTTGAGGATTGAGGGTTTAGGGTTTAGGGTGTATGGTTTAGGGTTTAGGGTGCCTTAAACCCCAGACCAAAGTCCAACACTGAGCCCGCTTGCGAACAAGCATGGCCTGGCAGAAGGGGCTCACCAAACCAAGGGGTTCAGGGTTTAGGGTTTAGGGTTTAGGGTTTAGGCTTCAGGGTGTAGGGTTTAGGGTTCAGGGTTTACGGTTTAGAGTTTGTCTGGAAATTGGTAGGAAACACTCGGCAAGAAACGGCAAACTCCTTCCACTGAAACCCACTGGCCAGAGAAGACGTGGACTCAAGCACACCGCGCACAAGCAGCAACACACAAAAAGGCAAGCGAACTATGACCGGAGGTTGGGCTGTTCCCCCCAAAACTAACAGTCCTTAATAATTAGGGAGAATACCACCCCCTAGTCTAATCCCCAGTCAGGACTGTTAGAATGAGGGGGAACCTCCCAAAACGGACACAACAGCCCCAACACTCCCAAAGAAGTCCTCAAGCACCAAACACAAGAATCAGAGCCCAACCTCCTTGACACCCCAGGGTTTAGGGTTTAGGGTTTAGGGTTTAGGGTTTAGGGCTTAGGGTTTAGGGTTTAGGGTTTAGGGTTTAGGGTCTAGGGTTTCGGGTTTAGGGTTTAGGGTTTGGGGTTTAGGGTTTAGGGTCTAGGGTTTAGGGTGACACACCAACCCACAATCCTAGATGCATTTCGAGGACTGTATGTGTTGTGTATGCCCTCGTTTTCCTTCCTTCTTTTGAGCAAGCAGAACATCTGAACCCGAAACCCCAAACCCCAAACCCCAAACCCTCAACCCTAAACCCTCAACCCCAAACCCCAAACCCTAAACCCGAAACCCTAAACCCTCAACCCCAAACCCCAAACCCTAAACCCGAAACCCTAAACCCTAAACCCCAAACTCCAAACCCCAAACCCTCAACCCCAAACCCTAAACCCTCAACCCTGAACCCTAAACCCCAAACCCTAAACCCTAAACCCTCAACCCTGAACCCTAAACCCCAAACCCTAAACCCTAAACCCTCAACCCTAAACCCCAAACCCTAAACCCTAAACCCCAAACCCTAAACCCTAAATCCCAAGCAGGGAAGGCCCGAGGCCCGTGCACTCACCGGAGAGATCTCCAGGGTCGAGCCGAAAAGCTTGGCCACCGCCTGGTGCAAGGCGCCTTCGCCAGAGGGGTTTAGGGTTTGGGGTTTAGGGTTTAGGGTTTGGGGTTTAGGGTTTGGGGTTTGGGGTTTAGGGCTTGGGGTTTAGGGTTGCGGGTGTTCGGGACTTGGGAATTTGGGGGTGCATAAGGGCTTAAGGCCAGGGCTGCGGGTCGCTTTGGGGCTTTCAGAGTTCCTCAAAGCGACATTTCTCGAAATTGAAAAGCCGAAGCCCGGAACCCAGGCCAAAAGAGAATCGTGAACCTCCACACTTCCATTCCCAGACTGAAAGCCCAAGAACACCCTGAACCCCCTAAAACACCCTAAACTCCCTAAACCCCCCTTAAAGCCCCCAAACCCCACACCCCAAACCCTAAACCCAAAGCCCTAAACCCTAAACCCTAAACCCCAAACCCTAAACCCTAAACCCTAAACCCCTGGCAGTGAGCGAAGCGCCGGCCTTTAAGCAAGGGAGCGAGCCCCGCCCGCGAGCTGGCGTAGTCCATCCTTAACGAGGGCTGAGGGTTTAGGGTTTAGGGTTTAGGGTTTAGGGTTTAGGGTTTAGGGTTTAGGGTTTAGGGTTTAGGGTTTAGGGTTCAGGGTTCAGGGTTTAGGGTTTAGGGTTTAGGGTTTAGGGTTGAGGGTTTAGGGCTATTTTTCTTCAGGGCGTTTCGGGTAGGGTTTAGGGCATTCAGGGTTTAAGACTTCGGAAAGGCTCGAGGGCACAGGGACTTCAGCGTTCATAGGGTTTAGGGTGTAGGGTTTAGGGTTCAGGGCTCATAGGAAGAGTCGTGGGGCTACAGGGTTGCTCGGGGCTTCTCCCTGAACCCTAAACCCCAAACGCTCAACCCCAAACCCTAAACCCTCAACCCTGAACCCTGAACCCTGAACCCTAAACCTTCCACCCCTGGCATCAACACCTTCAAATTGAAGCCGGCCACTCCCGATCCTGAACCTCAACTCTTTTACAACCTCGAAGCAGGTTCAGGGTTGAGGGCTTGGGGTTTAGGGTTTAGGGTTCAGGGTTTGGGGTTTGGGGTTTGGGGTTTGGGGTTTGGGGTTTGGGGTTTGGGGTTTGGGGTTTGGGGTTTGGGGTTCGGGGTTGAGGGCTAAACCCGTAAACCCTAGACCACCCCTCAGCCCTGAACCCGAAACCCTAAACCCCAAAGCCCCTAGCCCCTAAGGGTCATGGGTTCTACTACCCCACTACACTACCCCCCCGTCCCGGGTTCCCCCCGTAATTAAGGCTCTTCAGGCTACTTCAACCCAATAAGGTTTTTTTATGGGGAAACTTAGGGGCGGTAGTAGCCCTAAACCCTAAACCCTAAACCCTAACCCCAAAAACCCCAAACCCTAAGCCCTAGAGGGGGGGTTAGTATAAAGTCTAGAGAAGGCTAAACCCTAAACCCTAAATCCCTAAACCCTAAACCCATGAAAGGGGCCTGAAGGTGTAGGTCTGGTCATCAAGCCACTCCAGGTCTCCGACCTGCGAAGCGGCACGCGGCAAGCGGTCCGGCCCGTATCTTTTTTTCTAATGGGTTTTGGGGTTTAGGGGTTCAGGGTTTAGGGTTTAGGGTTAGGGGGTTTAGGGTTTAGGGTTAGGGGAGGGTTTAGGGTTAGGGGTCTAGGGTTTGAGGTCTAGGGTTTGGGGTTTGGGGTTTGCGGCTTCAGGGTTGGGGGGTTGAAGGGATTGAGGCAAGGAAAAAGACATGGAAGAGAGCAATCTTTGATTGCCAAGGGGACGAGTGCCCCGAAGTCCCTGGAAATGCCCTGAACCCTAGGCCCGAGACCCTAAACCTAGGCCCGAAACGCCAAACCCTAAGCCCTGAACCTTGAACGCTAAACCCCTGAACCCTCAACCCCAAGCCCTAAAGCCTAAACCGTCAACCCTGACCCCTAAACCCCTAACCCCTAAACCCTAAACCCTAAACCCTAAACCCTAAACCCTAAACCCAAAACCATTATTCTGACCCCTATGAAGGACTGGAGCATCCCAAAGCTTCGGGGTTTCGGACACCCAAAAACCCCAAACCCCCCCCGAGATTTGGGGCTCTCCTAGCCCTCACACAACCCGAAACCCTAAACCCTAAACCCTAAACCCTAAACCCTAAACCCTAAACCCTAAACCCTAAACCCTAAACCCCAAACCCTAAACCCTAAACCCTAAACCCTAAACCCCAAGCCCTAAACCCTAAACCCCAAGCCCTAAACCCCAAACCCTAAAGCCCAAACCCTGCGGGGGCATCTTGAGCATTCTGAAGGCTCCAGGTCATGCGCAAAGGTTTGGGGTTTAGGGTTTAGGGTGTAGGGTTTAGGGTTTAAGGGTTTAGGGTTTAGGGTTTAGGGTTTAGGGTTTAGGGTTTAGGGTTTAGGGTTCAGGGTTTACAGGGTTTAGGGCTAAACCCTAGAACCTCGCGAAGCCCTGAGGCTGGCCCAGCGCCTCGAAAATTGGAAAAACTGCCGCTGGCAAATCCCTGACGGCGTGGCGATGGAGGGCACAGGGGGATAGACTTGGAGGTTCATCGTACTTGTAAGGGTTTAGGGTTTAGGGTTTCGGGTTTAGGGTTTTGGGGTACTTATTAAGCAATCCCTTAAGTGCCCTAATGCCCTAATATGGTCATAAATTCAGGTAGAACTACACTTTTAATGGGTTAATAAGCACCATGAACCTCCGAGTATAGATGGAGACTGCGAAGCCCCGCCCCAATGTCCCTGAGGTATGGAGTAGTTCGCGACAAGGGTCCAAAATTAAGGGAGAGTGGAAGAGTGAAACCCTATAGTCATCCCTTTAGAATAGTCCCTATATTCACTCTTCCACTCTAAGCACCAGTAAGTAAACTCAAAAAGCACTGTCTTGGAGCCTCTGTTTGTGGAGCGAAAGCAACTTTCTTCCACAAGCGCAAGCTGCACGTTGCAACGCGACCCTAAACCCTAAACCCTAAACCCTCAATGCAATATCCCCAAATATTCTAATCCTTATTCTCTAGAAAGCCCCACAACAAGGGTGCCCTATTTTACAGCCCAGCGGCTCGTAAGGAACACCATAGATACAGCTGGCGGGGTCACCAGGCTGTCGGGAACAACTCAAGAACCCATGATTCAGGCCAGCGACCTTTCGACGTTGTGGTGCAGGATATTCAAGTTGCCCAAAAACTCGTGCAAATTTGTGCCTCGGCCGATGAACACCCCAACGCGAGACCCCGGAGGCGTTTCGAGCCTTGGGGGCTCTCAGCTTGCAGGTTCTCAGTAAGGCCCCAAACCCTAAACCCTAAACCCTAAACCCTAAACCCTAAACCCTAAACCGCCTAGGGATCCAGACTCCCGAAACCGGGCTTCGGGTTGCGACCTTGATTCCAGCACTTGCACCACTACTTCTGACCTGCCCTTCAAGAAAACTCTCGAGAATCCGGAACCTCCAAAATCAACAACAAGGGTCCTCCATGGCGCCCCTAACCCGACTTACAACAGAAGACCCCACAAAAAATGGACCCCCTGAGGTCCTCGGAAGCCAGGTACAGCCCTCAACTCAAGGGACACAAGGAGGGACCCTTGTAAGGAACCTCAGGGGTTCCTTTTAGAGGCTATGTAGGGGCTACCTAAGTCTATCGGGACTATATAGAGTATATATATATATATGGGTGATATCGGGGAATAAGATTCAGGGTCCCTTCTAGGGGATCCCTCCTTTTACCCCTTAATGAACCCCTGAACCCCAAACCCCTCAACCCCAGTAGGGAAGCTGCCGAGCGAGCGCAGGAGTCGGATGAACCCAGCACCTGGAAGTTTCATCGGACTGATACCAGGTCTCCCCTTTGGAACTCTTCGGGTTCGGGTTCAGGGTTCAGGGCTCTGATCGAGAATTGGGCTTATAAAGGGCTTTAGGGGGGGCTTCCGAGAAGGCAAGGGTTCTTGCTTGGGGTTGGAGAAGAAGGGAAGATGCTCAACAACCCTCAATCCCCGTCCCTCTCACACAGTCAAGACGGTGTAGGGGGACCCCAAACCCCAAACCCCTAAACCCTAAACCCCAAAACCCTAAACCCTAAACCCCTAACCTCTAAACCCTAAACCCTAATTAACCCCCTACGCCTGCAGCAAAGTCCACGAAGTAAGCACCGAAGAGCTCGAGAGCCGCCTCCAAAGGAGCGCCTCGAAGCATGGAGGGGTTCAGGGCTTGAAGGTTTGGAGTTTTAGGGTTTAAGGTTTAGGGTTTAGTTTTGGGTTTTGGGTTTTGGGGTGTTTGGATAAGGGGTGTAGGGTGTGGGGTTTAGACCTAGGGTTTAGGGTTTAGGGCGGGTTTAGGGCTAAGGGTTGCAAGGTTTAGGCTTTAGGGGGCTTCCCTCAACCCTTAACCCTAAACTGAGGGTTTGGCGGCTTCGTTTGAGAGGGATTGAAGTCTTAAGGTTGTGGTGTAGAACCCCAAGCACGAAGCCCTAAACCTTAGGGTCGTCTGGTTGGGGGAGAACCCTAAACCCTAAACCCTAAACCCTAAACCCCAAAGCCCTAAACCCTAAACCCCTCCTGCCACTTCCGCGCCGATCTTGACGGCCGCCATGGTCAGCGCGTCGTCGTAGTGCTTCATCTCCACGAGTGTGGCCTCATCCTCGACACCTGCAACTGACCCGGGTTTGCGGTTCAGGGTTGCGGTTTTCGGTTTTAGGGGTTCAGGGTTTATGGTTTAGGGTTTAAGAGGTTTCGGTGTTCCCTTGACCCTGTTAATCGTTTTGGTGCTTCCGGAGTAGCTCCTTCGAGTAAGAAGTGTTCTGGTGGGAATCTGGTGATCTGGTCTGTGTGTCAGTTGTAACTCAGGTGGCCTGGAGGGTTTGCGATGCAAGTTCAGCATCATTGTGAATTAGCCCTAAGTCGAGAGAAGGCTCACAAAGAGTCTCCGGACAAGCTCATGCAAGGAGTGTTGGAGCTCTTCGAGTGGGTGGGAGAGTGTTTGGCGCCCCTGTGGGTCTTTTGTTAGTTGGTCAAAATAGATGTTCCAAACACAACCCGACATTTCCCTGAATCCATAAGATCCTAATAACTTCCAAAGAACCTTTAGTTCACTCCTCCAATCCGCTGTAAGCAGCAAGAAGTACTCCATAGAGGCAGGAGTGCCACACAGACCACACCAAGGGCGAATTGAAATCTTGAAGTTTAGGCTGTAGGGTTTCAGGCGCTGAAGCATTGAAGCTTCAGTGGCATGCTGATCACGATGTGCGAACACAATACTGCCATGGTTGCTGTGATACAATACTGCCATGGTTGCTGTGATGACATGTACGGTGTAACACACTTTTGGGACATGCTCGAACCCCAACCCTCGCGTCCCAACCTTCCTTCCAAGCCCGAAAGGTCAAAGCGCGGCCAAGCAACCGGCTCGTTTCAGAATCTCCTTCCACGCCACCTCCCCGAACTTGTCCACGACAAAGCCGCGAAACACCACGTGGATGAGGCCGTGCATGGCGGATGCTTGTGGCAGCTATGACTAAAACAGCAGCCCACGCCGAATCCCACTCCGAACCCCCTCTGATCACCTGATACCAATCGCCTACATTGGGGAATGGTGCATGCGAAGGTCGTCCTTTTGAAAACGGCAACCTGTCCGGTGTCTGAGCCACGAAAGATCGAGGACCTATCTTGTCAAGAACATGTTGCTTTACGATCCGCGACTCAGTTTCCACATGGAATGGGTCAAGTCAGCCGAAGCCTTTGTATCTTGATTGCACGGTGTCCAAATTCAGGCTTCTGAACGTGCATCCGCTTCACAAGTGGCAAGTTGAAGCATGTGTCATGGAGCACGTTGATGTTTCTTGCGAATGCACAAAATGTGCCACCAGGCGCTTGGGCCACAACCACTTGCCAGTAAGACCTCACATGACCCTACAGTCTTTTTTAGAGCGCGTACTGCAGCTGACTTGCGTCTCACAAAGAAAAAGATGTGTGACATGTGATCTCTGCATCTCAAGGTTGCTCCTCTAGATATGAAACTTGGGATGCTCTATTATGATAGGGGCTACTAGAATCCCTGTGAAGGACAGTTAGCATAAGGGGGAACATCCCAACATGAAACCAATGTTTTGACATCAAAACCGGGTGGAACCTGCTCACTGTGTGTGCTGGAATGGGCACTTGCGAATCAGAGCAACGTTTGCAAATCAAAGCCGCTCCCTTTCAAGCTGGTGCGTGCCTCTGGGCGGCTTACGACTGCCGCTAGATCTGAACAGATTCGTTCGTGTCAAAGACAGCAGGGTTCAGGAAACAGGGCTTTGGGTTTAGACAAGCGTGATTCTCCTGAGCCGGTTTGCACTCGATGCACGTGGAAACTGCACCAGGACATGGTCAAGCAAAAAACAAAACTCTGCAACATCAAACAGTTTCACACCGAAACCCTAAACCCTAAACCCTAAACCCTAAACCCTAAACCCTAAACCCTAAACCCTTCAGACCTTTCTGTTTTGGTTCTAGGTTCAGGGTTTCGGCTATTCTGGGGAAAGGCTTCGGTGGTTCGATGCTTTTACGGTTTAGGCAAGCTCTTTGAAGTGTCCCCCACCTCGGTTTAAAGTATGCCCTCCGAATATGGGCCCTTGCTTTAGGGTCCTACAGCATAATCTCCGCGTATGTATATGCATACATATACATATATATGGGGCGAAAATCACCCCACGAGTCTATACGAGTCTTGCTGCAGCGATCTGCAGGCGTAGAGGGTGGGACAAAGAAATTGTCTCGTGCCCCTGTCTCTCTGCAGCGTTGAGCGCGTCCACAGGTGAAACCGCTCGTCAGCAACCCTTTCAGTGGGACTAACGTGGGGGAAAACATATAAGTCGGAGGATGCGTATGGGAGAAATAAGTTTAGGGAGACTATGTACACAGTGGGCAATTCAGGGCTCTTCGCAACCCTGTTCGAGTGAGACGATGGCAGGACTAGGGTCAAGTTTCCGGCCACCGTGGGGGAAAAAACGGAATGGAAAGGGAGTGTCTTATCGTCGTTGACGCAGCTCACCCCGACGCACAAGGGGCACTTTGTGACCACTCGCCAGAACTAAACATTGAGCAAACGAGAAGTCGGTGACGTTGGAAAAGAGGCTGGAAAGGCCGCAGTCCCCCGGTTCGCCTCCTGTCGGCTCCCCTAGACAGCATTGTGGCATATGTGAAAGGGCTGCGTGGCATCCAGCAGCGTGTAACCGTCAATCGGCATGAAAATTGGGGCAATTGTCATTGATTGTGGGAAATTGTAGCGCAACCTGGGTCCGATCAAATTTGCTAGCCATCCAGAAATGCACGTCTCCACAACGCGAGCTCGCTTCCTCACTCTCTCTTACTCTCGCTTTCACTCTCACTTTCACTTTCATTTCTCATTCTCATTCTCTTCACTCTCACTCTCACTCTCACTTTAACTCTCACTCTCACTTTCAACCTCTCTCGCTCTCACTCTCATCACACTCCTCACACACTCACACACACTTTGTCTTTCTCTTACACGCAAGCACTTGCTGCTCCAAAAAATACAAATGTTTGGCTCTGGCAAAGACCAAGGTCGATGGCGCTAAATTCAAGATAAAAGATGCTGCAAATGAGCCTCACAACTTGAACATTGTTAGAACCCCAATATCTTCGGTGTTCAAAGCCCAAGCCAAAAGCTTTCATTCCGCAACGTCAAGCTTGCCAATTTACCAAAAGCGCTCGATATCATGGTTGGCGACAGCTGCTGCAAGTGCACGCCGCACCGCGTCCAGGAAGTTGAGCGGTTGGTCTGCAGGGTTGAATTGCTGATACTGTCTGTGCCCCAGAGCTTGACGCGCGTTAAGTGTTACCCTAACAAAGGCGGTAATTTGTGGGCGTTGAGCCAATCTGGCAGATTCCAAGTCACTGAACTGCGCACTTTGCGCCCAGTGGCGTAGTCGTGAGGAGGGTACTTGGCCCTGGACCTCTGGTACCCCTGCGCGTTGCGCTTGAGAACTGTCTCCGGGCGTGTGGGCCGCATATACGCTCTGCCTGCTAACAGTGCCACTGCGGCAGCTGGTGGCACATTCACTTGGAGATCGGCAATTTTGCCTTGTCTCCTGTGCACCCTGTTCCGTCTTCTTATCACTGTCCGGCGAGCCGAGAACAACCGGCAAGCATCCAGCTCTCGTAGGGGGAGCATGTTGATGCGCATTGAAGGCAAGGAACAGCCCTTCCAACCAATAGTCCGGATCTCCGTAACACGCCATGGCCGGGAACTTTGCTGGGGGGGTTGGAATTTGGGGGTTTAGGGTTACCTGCAGCGTCGGCAAAGTGCGCGGTTTCCACTTGCACCGCAACTGTCAAGGCATGGAGCCAGTAATCGGCTTCCTCATGAAACTCCTCACTTGTAGCCCTGTGGTACCCTTTTTCCCTTTTTTTGGTTCAAGGTTCCTTTATAAGGTAACCAACCCAAAAAAGGGTGCCCTTATCATGATATGGGTGCTGGGCTACTAAGTCTTAATTAGACCCAAAGGGGTTGCAGAAAGTATTTTGGTGGGCAATTCTTTTGGGAAATGCCCGTTGAAAGAGTTTGGGGTTTCGGGGAGGAGAAGGGCCTCAAAACCCCCCGTGGTGCCTTTGTAAGTGATTGCACATCGCTCACCCAAGCCCCTAATTCTCGACTGAGAACTTGAAAGCTGCAAGAACAATTTGGGTCAGTTCTTCCTCATAAGCCCTCAGGGTTCATGTACCTCATAATTACATACCTGGACCCAAAGTCCCTACATAGGAAGTACTTTAAGGCCCAAGTATGCACTGCTCAGGTACGTGGACCCTTAGGGAAGTAGAATGGCGTGGGTTTCAGTATCCTATAACCATGTCCAGTCGCCCCTTCGGTCGTTTGCGCTGGGTACTTACCTCTGCTCTACTTTTTGGTTTCTTCGGGGTTCCATGATTTTATTAGGCCGTGCTCGCTGTATTCATAACAGGCGGTTGGGGATTACCTCACGAACCCCAAAACTACTTTTTTGTGTAGGCTCTTATTGTGAAACCCTTTACAGGATTCTTAGGTGGCTACAGAAAAGGAGGTTTTGGGTTTTTAGAATAATTTCAGCCTAGACCCTAGACCCTAGTCCCTAGACCCTAGACCCTAGACCCTAGACCCTAGACCCTAGAACCTAGACCCACCCTCGACCCTAGACCCTAAACCCTAGGGTCTAGACCCTAGACCCTGACCCTCGACCCTAGACCTAGACCCTAGACCCTAGACCCTAGACCCTAGACCCTCGATCCAGACCCTAGACCCTGGACCCCATGGACCCCAAACCCCAGGCCTGGACCCTAGACCCTTGACCCTCGCCCCCAGACCCTAGAAGGGGGTGGAGAGGGGGGGGTGGAGAGGGGGTGGAGAAGGGGTGGAGAGGGGGTGGAGAGGGCGTGGAGAGGGGGTGGAGAGGGGGTGGAGAGGGGGCGGAGAGGGGGTGGAGAGGGAGAGGGTGGAGAGGGTGGAGAGGGTGGAGAGGGTGGAGAGGGTGGAGTGGAGGGTGGAGAGGGGGAGAGGGTGGAGAGGAGGAGAGTGGAGAGAGAGAGGGTGGGAGAGAGGGTGGAGAGGGTGGAGAGAGGGGTGGAGAGAGAGAGGGAGAGAGGGTGGAGAGTTTGAGAGGGTGGAGAGGTGGACGGGAGGGTGGAGAGGAGGGTGGGAGAGGAGGGTGGAGAGGAGGAGGAGGGTGGAGAGAGGGTGGAGAGGAGGGTGGAGAGAGGGTGGGAGGAGGGTGGAGAGGAGGTGGAGAGGAGGGTGAGAGGGTGGTCTTTCCACACCCTCTCCACCCTTTCCACCCCCCTCTCCACCCCCTCTCCCCCCTCTCCACCCCTCTCCACCCCCTCTCCACCCCCTTTCCACCCCCTCCACCCCCTTCCACCCTCTCTCCACCCTCTCTCCACCCTCTCTCCACCCTCTCCACCCTCTCTCTACCCTCTCCACCCTCTCTCCACCCTCTCTCCACTCTCTCCACCTTTTTTCCACCCTTTCTCCGCCCTCTCCACACCCTCTCCACACCCTCTCCACACTCTCTCCACACCCTCTCCACACCCTCTCCACACCCCTCTCCACACCCTCTCCACACCCTCTCCACACCCTCTCCACCCTCTACACCCTCTCCACCCTCTCCACCCTCTCCACCCTCTACCCTCAACCCTCAACCCTCAACCCTCCACCCTAAACCCGAAACCCGAAACCCTAAACCCTCAAAACCCTAACCCGAAACCCCACTCCCAAACCCTTAACCCTCAACCCTAAACTCTGACCCTAAACCCCAAACCCTCTAGGTTCAAGCTTTGGGGTTTGATCTTGCCCAGACCCCAGCGGCGCCGCCGCAACGGCGGAAGATCATCAAAAGGCAGCAAGGCGGGATCTAAAGGAAGAATGCATGCACTTTTCCCTACCATATGCATAACACCTGCTGGTTTGGTAAATTTTAGGGTTTAGGTTTTAGGGTTTAGAGATTTAGGGGTTTGTCA